CCGAGGGCACCGCCACCCCCCCCCCCTCCTCTAACCACCAGCCCCCCTCCCGTCCCAGAGCTGGGGAGAGAACCCAGGAGTCCTGCCTCCCAGCCCCCCTGCTCTAACCACCAGCCCCCACTCCCCTCCCAGAGCCGGGGAGAGAACCCAGGCGTCCTGGCTCTGACCCGCGGGGACCCGGCACTTACTTTCTGTTGCAGTTGCAGTTGTTCTAAGATTGGACCCTGAGTTGAAGAATTAATTGGTATATCCCATAGACTGGCCTCACCGCCTGCGGGAGAGACTGGAGTGTCAGGCCCGGCGCGGCACCCCCCTCGGAACACCCCCGGAGCTGCACCGCCCCCCCCGCGCCACGCTGCCCCCCCTTACCTGCAGGCTGTGAAGCTGAGGTATGCGCGTCCCACAGGGACCCTGTGTCTGGCACGGACATGGATCGGTTCATCGCCGGGATCAGGTTCTGCTCCCCGGTTCTGCAAGGCAAGGGGGTCCCCTGCTCAGCGCTGCGCTCGCCCCCCACAGCGCCCCTGGGAGGACAGAGCTGCAGCCACCCCCAGGATGAGGCAGCTACCGGAGCCGGGGAGAGAACCCAGGCGTCCTGGCCAGTCAGACTGTGTGCATGCCCCCTGCTCCACCCCAGATGGCAGCAGGAGAGCGGGATGAATCAGAGTGTGGGGAACTGGGGGGCTGTGGGGGTCCGGGGGGCTGGCCAGGGGGGTCACTCACCTGGGTTTCAGAGCCTGCAGCTGCTGCAGGAAAGCCGTGAGCTGCTGCTGGGTGAGGTCGCCGGCTGCCAGCTTCTGCTGCAGTGCGCACTGGGCGAACTGCGGCCTGCGGGGAGAGCGCCGGGTAGTCACTGCGGGCCCCCGCCGGGGACCCCCACTGCCGGATCCACGCCCAGCCCAAGGGGGGGGGGGGGAGATGATGGGGGTCGGACCCATGCCCCACGCCCAGCCCAAGAGGGGGAAGTGATGGGGGTCGGACCCACGCCCAGCCCAAGGAAGGAGAAGGGGATGGGGGTCGGACCCACGCCCCACGCCCAGCCCAAAGGGGGAAGTGACGGGGTCGGACCCACGCCCCACGCCCAGCCCAAGGGGGGGAAGCGACGGTCCAGACACAGGGGTCGGACCAGCCCAAGGGGGGAAGGTGATGGGGGTCAGACCTGCGCCCCACGCCAGCCCCCTCGCGGCGCTCGCACTGTACCTGTCCGGCAGGTACCGGTTGATGAGCTGCAGGAACTGCTGATGCTGGAGCTGCTGGTAGAGGGCGGCCGCCGCCAGCTCCTGCTGCTTCTTCAGCCGCTCCTGGTCCAGGTTCCCCTAGGGGGCAAGCGCAGAGACAGGCTGTGGGGCTCCCCACGGGGAGGGGCGCCAATTTCACAAACGGGGGTGTGGGGGGGGCTATGACTCCGGCCACCGGACGCTACCGAAGGATTGTGGGGGCACCCCGAAAGGTATATGGGGGGGACAAAGGAGAGACCCCGGGGCTGGCCCGAGCGGGATCTCCCAGGATCTGGCCCGTTCTGGACACACCGGGCAGTCGCCGGAGGCGGCTCTGGGATTCGGGGCAGGCGAGTGCCGAGCGCGGCAGGCTGGGCTTTTGGGGAGCTGGGGGGTCCCCCAGGCTGGGCGAGGGGGCGCACCCCGTCCCGGGGGGCTCGGCTCACCAGCAGCGGGGGCGGCGACGGGCCAGGCGCGAAAGGCACTCTTCCCCACATCTTGATCACCTCGCCCAGCGGCTGGAAGCCCTCGTCACAGCCGCGCTTCACCAGGAGCGACATGGTGAAATAGCCGGCCTGGAACCACTCCGCCATCTCCTGCGTGGTGAAGGGCCCTGCGGGGGGGAGAGGCACAAACAAGGGTGTTCACGCAGGGACCCCTCGCCCCGCGCTGAGATGCGGCCTCCTCTGGGGCGAGGTGGCCGGTTACCCAGGGACTCCCTGCCCTGACCCCCACACCCCAATCGGCCCCACACCTTGGATCTCCCCCTGAGGATCCTTGTAGAACCACTTCATGGCGGCCTCGTGGGAGAGGGGCAGGGCAGCGGCCGTGTTGCGCGGCTCCTGGATGGCCTGGGTGAAGCGCTCCTCATCCATGGAGCTCTCCTGGAGCGAGGCCACCATCTTCTCTGCTTCCTGGGGGGGGGGGAAGCGGGGGAAGAAACCAAGGTGAGACCGGGCCCTGGCCCCCCAAATCTGGGGGGGATTGATGTCTGTGCTGCTCCCACCTTGAGCACAGGCCAGGAGTGGGGAGGAGAGAACCCAGAAGTCCTGGCTCCCAGCTCCCCCTGCCCTAACCCACTAGCCCCCACTCCCCTCCCAGAGCCGGGGAGAGAACCCAGGAGTCCTGGCTACCAGCCCCCCCTGCTCTAACCACCAGCCCCCACTCCCCTCCCAGAGCCGGGGAGAGAACCCAGGAGTCCTGGCTCCCAACCCCCCCTGCTTGAACCCACCAGCCTCCACTCCCCTCCCAGAGCCGGGGAGAGAACCCAGGCATACGGGCTCCCCCGCTCACCTGCTGAAGATGTTTCATCCCATCGTCGTCCTCGGCGTCTCCAATGGAGAACTCAGTAGCAGCATTGGTGGTGGAGGAAGGGGAGGAGAGGGTGGAGACCGCGCCCGTGCTGAGCTGCGACGGGAGGCCCAGGACGCCTGGGTCCCCTGGGGAAGGAGGGAAGGGGTCACTACATGAATTTGTTACCCCTTTCCCCCCACCCCCGGAGCTCAGATCCTCCCTCCCCCATAATACCACCCCCGCCTTGGTAGCCTTCGTGACCGCTCTGGGAGCTGTCATTTCAGGCTCTTGGCAGACACAGGTAGTTGGGCAGACATTAGTAGGTTTCAGAGTGAACACCCTTCATGAAGGCACCCAGGAAGCGATTGTTTCAGGCTCTCAGCAGACTCAGGCAGCGCTCAGCTCCAGAGAAGCATTGCAGAGGGAACAATGCATTTTGGGATGGAGGAGACAACCAGCAGCCCATCCCCATCCCCCCGCCCGCTTGGTACCTTCCGCAGCAGGCTTCGGCTCCTTGTCGCAGGTGCCGAGGGGCACGGTGGGGTCCGAGCCCCCCAGGGGGGCACTCTCACATTCACTAGTGGCAGTGGCAACAGTAGCAGCAAAGGGGGGGCCCGACAGCCAGGGGGCGCCGGGCGGGGAACATCGCTTCTCCTCCGGGGTCATCGAGGGATCCTTCCAGGCCTCTGGAGAGAGAGAGAGAGAGAGAGAGAGAGAGACAACGGGTTACCATCTGGGGGGTTGCCCCAATCCCCCCACCCCTCCCACACCCTGGTGCAGTGGGGTCCTCCAAAGCCTCCCGCCCGCCTTACCTTTCTCGGGGGCCTCCTTCGAGCTGGGCTCAGCATCCTCCTTCCCTTCCGACCTCTCATCGTCTTCCTGCAACGGATGGAAGTCGAACACATGCTCCTCAGGGATTGGCTCCTTGGGGCTCTTCTGTCAGAGAGGAGGAGGGGCTTGGGGGGTCAGAGGTCAAGCCAGGATCCCCAAGTACATGGGGGGGAAGCATCCCACTGTTCTGCCCACCCCCCCGCCCAGCTGACAGCAGGAGCTACCCCAGGGACAGGACTGGGAGCCAGGACTCCTGGGTTCTCTCCTCGGCTCTGAGAGGGGAGTGGGGGCTGGTGGGTTAGAGCAGGGGGGGCTGGGAGCCAGGACTCCTGGGTTCTCTCCCCGGCTCT